TTGATAGACAATAACTTTATTTCTGATGCACTTTCAGCGTTACAACTTTGCAGATCGTTTACATTCATATACAGCTACATTACACACTGTATGAAAGGTGATTTTCAAAAATTCATAATACGGGCACTTTAATTCATGAATGACACCCTGACTGAACACTTAGTTTTTGTTGTGGTAAAAGAAAAAGAGATTCTTTATTCAGAACTAGGAACTATTACTGTAATGTGTTTGTTGTATTAGTACATTTGTGAGGCTTCATTTGGCTGCTAAATGTTTCATGTTCAGCCCTGATACTCTTATGAATCTGCACCATCCTGATTTACAACTACTCTATAAAAGCCAAAGAAGATGGTGGTGTTTTACTGACCACTGAATGGAAATATGGGAATTACCAAACTGTTTAGATCAGCAATATCCAGTTTTTGTTCCATCGCTTTTTAGAGATTAATAAGTACTTACCACTTGCCATGTTAAAAGTGAGGAAATCTGTGGAGAAATTAATATTGACCCACATTCCATTCACAAAGCTAGACCTTGATCTGTTTGTGTTGCATAAATGTGGTTAGATCATGATTGAGCTTTAGGAAAGACGGGCTATTCCTGAGTCTAGTTTTAGACTGCTTGGCTCATGAGTTATAAAAGCAGGAGATTACTGGGAAAACAGTAAACCAACCCTGTGATTTTCTAGCCAAGCCCATAAGGCTGGAGATTCCTCAGAGAACGAGTTATCATTATCAGGTAAACTAAGCCAAGAGCTCTGGAGAGAATGTGAGACTAAATTAGGACTGTAGGCAGGGTGCGAACTACGGGGGAGCTAGGGGGAGCTCGGCTCCCCTTAATAAGACATGGGCTCCCCTGAAAACGTGATTTGTGAAATTTTGGGGGGTCTCTTGCGCACGAACCACCCTCCGTTTTAAAAATCAAGTGGGCTCCCCCAAAGTCCACGGTATAGTTCGAACACTGACTGTAGGGGAACGGAAAGAGCACTTCAAAACCCTTCGCTTCAACTGTCTTGACTCATGTCGTGACCCGAAATGTGACAAAAAGCGTCCAGTCTGTTATAAATATGATGCCTGTCTAACTGGAAGAGTTGAAATCTCTTATGGTGATGAAACAGGATGAACTTAAATTACATAATCAGTTCAGTTATTGGAAACCTTTAAAAAGAAGAATGCTGAAAAGAATATTTACATAAACTCTGTATTATTAAGAGAGTCTAGATTAATGCAGGCATTTAGATATTCAGCAACCTAGTGAAGAGATAACAGTAAAATAAACAATTCAAGGGAAAAAATCCAGAGAATGTAACAAGCATTTAATCAGGTGAGAGAAACGTGTCAAATAACACAATGATTCATAAGAAGCACAAAAAGTAATATTTACTGTCATGGTACACTGCTGAATAAAACATAAACCAGGCTGCTTTGGTGGTTTTGAAGGGGTTTGGGGAACTTTTTTGGCTGGTCAGAGTGGGAGACCGCCTTAACCCAGATCAGACTGCTCAAGCTGGAAGACCAGTTAGACCAGTGGTTCCCAACCCTGGTCCTGGAGGCACCCCAACACTGCACGTTTTGCATGTCTCCTTAATCAAACACACCTGACTCAGGTCATCAGCTCATTAGTAGAGACTCCAAGACCTGAAATTGGTGTGTCAGAGAAAGGAGACATGCAAAATGTGCAGTGTTGGGGTGCCTCCAGGACCAGGGTTGGGAACCACTGATCGAATTCATAAAAATAGTCTGAGTGATTCATTCACAAATTGGCCTGATTTGGTTCAATTCACTGCCTCAATGATCCTGTTACAGTGGTTAGCAGCTCACTTCAGATTAAGAAGACAAATTAACTTTCTATGGGTATATATGGTGTCCACCGTCATCCTGGCATTCCTCATATGCTGTTTATAAAACATCACAGGTGGGAGCACATGGCTGCCATGTGCATGTGTGTCAGGACCAGGGTTGGGAACCACCGAGTTAGACCATCCTAAACCACCTAAGACCAGCAAAACACCTTAAGCTGGGTTCCAGCATGGTATTCTTTGACGTACATTGGAGAACCAAGTCTTTGTCATTTTAAACAGTAAAAAACATCCAAAAACCACCTTATGTAGAACTTTTACTTCTTTTAAGTGAATTGTACGTTTCCAAGCATTTCACATAACAGTAGGATGACTCAGGATCCATGCAAATAGTTCAGTGAAAGAGAATAACAAAACATCTGACAAAACAACCCGACAAAGCCAACAACTTTGAAGCAAAGAAGAAAACCACCAAAATGCAGTTAAGTGGTACAATTAAAAATAGACTGGTCTGTGCATTACAAAACATGACTGAGAAACGCACAGCTAGGCTGTCTCAAAATCTAGTGAGCTGTCTCTTTAGCTCACTAAAATACCTAAACAGAATCATTTTCATTACGTTCGGTTGAGTTAACATGCATTTATATAGAACGGCGTGCTAAAAAAAAAATATATGACGATGCTTCCTGCACTACTATTCACCGCAATACTACCACTGAATTTACAGTCCAAAACGTACAGCAGTAGTCCGAACAAATGACTCAAATGAGCCGGTTCTTTTTAATGACTCATAAACATACAGCGCGACCAATGCAGACCGACTGTCGAAAGGTCTCAAAATCTAGTGAGCTGTCTCTTTAGCTCACTAAAATACCTAAACAGAATCATTTTCATTACGTTCGGTTGAGTTAACATGCATTTATATAGAACGGCGTGCTAAAAAAATATATATATGACGATGCTTCCTGTACTACTATTCACCGCAATACTACCACTGAATTTACAGTCCAAAACGTACAGCAGTAGTCCGAACAAATGACTCAAATGAGCCGGTTCTTTTTAATGACTCATAAACATACAGCGCGACCAATGCAGACCGACTGTCGAAAGAATGAATATTATAAGCCGATTCCTTTAGTAAATCAAAAACACTTACGGAAGCAGGAACAATTATTTATATATTACTCATTTACTGAACCGCAATTAAAAAGTGATATGTTAACATCATGAGTTTTTGACTGTTCATCTGACAACTTAATTTGAGATACACAACTAATTGAAATAGTTATCACATTTTGTTGGTTTAGTATTTGTATTTAATATTTAAAGCCAGTTATCGGACTGCACTTGTGCTGCCTCTAGAAAAGTCTGTAAAAGCCATTAAAAAGTCTATGTAAACAATACCTTTGGCAAGAAAATTGTATTCAATTTATTTTTGTGCAAACATATTTGTTAAATATGTTTTGAAACCTGAAATTATCTTATAATTTGCTAACAACTGTTGAGGGCAGCAAATCTAACAAGGATCTTTATTCTTCAAAGTACTAAAAGAAAGGAATTCTAAATGGAACCGAACTCGTCGAGACGAATCGAATTTAGAATCATTAAATTCCTTACGATTCCCATCGTTAACTAGACAGCATTCTGGGCATCGACACAAACGTTCGAACACACTGTTTGGACAGTCAGAGGTTTTAATACACAACCTTATTGAGTCGCTACCAAAAGAAATCATGCATAAAAACTACACGCAACACAGTACAAAATCACTGTTACTGTTTAAAAGGTCGTCACTTCTCTAAAACGCACTCGTTTTACCACAAAAATAAATAAACTCTGGCGTTACCTTAATATCTTGAGGTCTGCAGCACCAGGTTAGTGATTCTGTCTTATCTTTAAAACAGACGCCAAGAGCAAAATCGCCAGTGTCAGATGCACTTCGAAAACTGCTTCAGCGCTTAAAAAATTAATAAAGAAGTGGCGACGGAGGCAGAGCCAGCTTCGTCTGTGAGAAAGCGTTTAGCTGTGTTTGTCCGGTGGAGAACTGACAGTGAACTGAACACGCCTAACTGTGAGTGACTCTCCCATAGAGTCACAGCACCGCCCGCACTCATGTGTCTGAGCTGAGTGATGCACTTTGATCAAATGCTGTGCGTGTGTATGGACTGCTTCTTATCGAGCACACTAACACTAGTGACAGACAGACAGACAGACAGACAGATAGATAGATGATTAATCAACTGAAACTTGTTAAATTTTTGGTTACACGTTGACAATCAACAGGGTGGTGTGACATTTAAACTATTAAAAGTGTCATCATCAAATAGCATCATTGTCAGTATGTTTGGCATCTGAGTGATTGTATTTATATCTGTACTTTTAGATTGTGCAGTTGCTTTAACAGTTATCACATAATTAAGCTGCAATATATTTGATTGCCAAATGCTTGATTAACTGATTCAGGAATTTGTGGTACCAGATTGTAAAAGCTCCAATCAAATCCTTACTTTGTTCAAAGGGATTACAGACCATTTCATTTATTAGGGAGACATGAAACAAAAATGTTTAACTGTTGTTTATCAAAATGAAATCCTAACTAGATTGATGGATGGATGGATGGATGGAGCGACGATAGATAGATAGATAGATAGAGGTAGAACAACATGCAGACAGACAAATAAATGGATGGATAGATATTGCATACATACTGTACATACATGCAATACACAAAACCATATTATTACCAAAAGAGAGAGCAGTCAGTGTATTTAGTGTTGAGCAGAAGCTGGTAATGAGAGCTGCTGGGAAAACAATGTGACATTCCGATCCTCACTAGTACTATAATGGGCTGGATTAAAATGACTTGCTGAATTAGTGGCTATGGGCTGGTCAAAGAAAATACCAACAACAGGAGGATTATTCCTGCATGCACATGAATATGTGTGTTTGGCCTCAAAACACTGAACAGAGATCAGCAGATAGAAGTGACCACATAGTCACCAAAAATCAATAATAATCTATGGACTGCTCAGTTTAACAATTAAATTTAACTTTCGTGACATTGTGTGGTAGAAGAGAGGAAAAACATCAAAAACATGAGGAAGTAAGCTCTTTCTCTGGGCATTTTTAAAACGGCTTTTGTAAACAACACAACCAACAAGAAGTTCCTGCTACCATGTTAATAATAAAGACACTGGTGTCGTATTGCAAAATCAATGATATTTATTCATATTCTGGCAGTAACCCACAACACAAAAGCAAGAATAAAAGAGAATAAAACAGAAGAATGCCACATCCACGGACAATGCTGCAGCGGGAAACATGAGCTCTTTGACCATTTCATCCCTGACATCAGATGATAAAACCTGAGAGTCAAGAAAGTCTTGCGTGTCCAATATGAGAATGCATCGGTTTCATTAAAATCGAACACAAAAAAAGTCAACTTTTATTTCATGAATGATATGGAAGGTGATCAGATCCATCAGAACCAAGAAGTGAAACACACTAGGTCATGTTTGATCTCTCCAGCTTCAGAGTGTCATTGCGAGACGATGTGCAGAGAAGCCATGTGACACATTACACAGCGATCATGCAGTGAAGTATCGAATGAAGTGTGATAAGGCAAAGTTCGCAGACATTTCTCCCTAATTCACATAGACCTGGATGAATATTGCAGAGTAAAACATTCTGGGTCCTTAGTATTCAGCTCTTATTAAACAACATTTGCAAATAAGCTACTGTAAACAACGCAATGAGTATTCAGGTCTATGTAACACTGAAGCAGATCACACACAATAGCTCCGAAGATACATTTGAGAAACGCTGCACTTACATTTTCGGCATCCGTGCAACGACAACAACAAAAAAGCAAGCACGATGTGCATACAACACAATAAAACTTTGGTTGCAGAGACAACTAATCGCACAACAAAAATTTGACTGATTCTTAAATCAACTATGTACAAATAAGGTACGTAAAATATGCTAAATAAATTCTTAAACCACTTATCCAGGAGTCAACTGTGCACGATATACACAAACAATCAACCGTTCCATCTCTCTTTATTCTTTGAAATTCATCAAGAGGTGCTGTGGCAAATGATGGATAAAAAAACGGTTCTGATGTAAACCACAGTAAACAGGTCCAGATATGGTTGAGCATCTGCAGGAAATCACACAGACATCATGTTTTACATCAGCTGTAGTTTGGTCATTTTTCACAATGTTTTTATACTTCATATTCGATTCATAAGCTTTTCATCCATCATTTCTGGTTTCGCATATGGTGAATCTACAAGAAAAAAAAACTTTGAGGTCACTATGACCGTCTTGAAGAAAAATCTGGTTCTGATTAATAGTAGTGTGATAGCCAGTGATGCCAGTAGAAAATAATAAAAAAAAAAATTCTGGAGGAAATTTAATTGAAAATTAAAGAGTAGAATAAAAGGTATCAAATCAGCCATTGATTTCCATCATATAGATCCTCTCAATCTCTCTTTCCACAAACATCTTCACAAGACGAGATTCATGACATCTTGTTTTTCCAATCACCACACAGTGCAAACACCGAGCAGAGTTCTTTCAAGTTTTTCTACCAAACTTTCATCATAGCTCTATTGAAAAAAAATAAATAAAAAATCACTGAGATCCATGGTAGTTAAACACTCTACTCTAAATAGCAAACTGAGCAAACTACTCTAGTAGAACAAGAACAGATAGCATATTTGTATATTTTTCTTTATCATCTGTATTTACAAGAATCTTAACTTGTCTTAAGCTGTGAGTGACATATATTTGCTCTCAAGAGGGAAATAAATGTTAAAGGGGAAATTAGACATCACTTCAAATCCTTCTGATTTCAATGTTAATGTTAAAACATACGTGTACCATCGTCCCTGATAATGTTTCAAGTTGGTTTTTGTCATTAGGGTCCACTTTTTGAAAAATGTCCATTTAAGGCAAAGAGAACAGGGAATGCTGGAGGTCCACGAAGCGGAGAACTTTCTCTGCCTGTGTCCTTCCTTAAAATGTGAGGTAACGACTGCTGAAGAGGTTTTGATATTTTTAGTGGCGTGAACTGAGAATTTTTTAGAGGGGGGAATCAATTAAGTCTCTGTAAACCCCTTTCTGCTTTTCATCATTGGCACCCACCTATATACAGACTATAAGATCTCCTCAACACCATGAGCGAAGATCATAACCAAACCCGGCTCCAGAATCATATCTTCACCCATGTGCTGGTTCTCACAGGCCATCACCACCACGGCCTGCTTACCCGGAATGCGCTTAGCCACATAGTTTTCATAATATCGGCGGTTCATCTGCCGCGTCTCCAGCGTGGCCAAGCCTTGGGGCCAGTTACGCTCGTGGGCGTTCTCGATGAGGTCATTAACGATTGACAACGGGCATCCACTGTCTATGAGCGATCGTTTGATGACGGCCTGGAGGACGGCGTCAGGTGTGGAGATCATTCCTCCCCAGCGGGTCACGCGAGCGGGCTGGAGAGAGTTCACCCACCTGTGGCCAAACAAGAGTAGTTAGTTAGAAAGTCATCTGATTACCAATTATGGGATTAGCATTATTACTTAATCAACAGTAATTTATCAGTATTCAAGAGCAATTTACATACTCATTGTTTACATAGTAGACTTATATTTTATCCACTGCACAATACAAATAACTACGGCTACGGCCTTAGCCTTATTCTTTTGACAAATATATTATCAAATATATTGTGTATATATATTTAAGTATATATACAAATGTATATATAACTTTAACATTCAAAAGTTTGGTGACAGTAAGTAAAAAAAAGAAAGAAAGAAATTAATACTTTTATTGAGCAAAGAGGCATTCAATTAATCAAAAGTGAAAAAAAGAGACTTTTAAATTGTTAAAAAATTGAAAAAAAGTTATCAAGATTTCCACAAAAATATTAAGCAGCACAACGGTTTTCAACATTATAATTGTAATAATAAATGTCATAATATTTCACAATATTACGGTTTTTACTGTATTTTTGGTCAAATAAATGCATCCTAGATGAGCATAAGAGACTTTAGAAAATTTATATATATCTATATCTATATATATCTATCTATCTATTTTTTTTTTTAAACCGTTAAACAGTCTATCTTGAAATCATATGGGCTTAAAAAGATACAGGAAAAGAACATATCACTCACTCTAGGATCTCATTGTACTCTATGCTCTCCTCCAGGTTCTGTAAGTTAGGGTTAGTGCTGCGTATTGCTCGCATGTAAGCTTTCAGGAGCTGGATGTCACGTTTCTGAATAAAAGAAATCATGAGAATATTAACAAGCAGTGTACTGTCTGCTGATCAGAGCAGAGATTCCATAGATGTTAAATTCAAATAAATTCATAGAGACAGTGATATTCACATAGCCTCATGATAAAGCATAAAACACACAGGTCTGACCTGTTCTGCAAGTTGGTGCTTGTGCTCAGCTGCAGACTTCTCTAGATCTGCAATCTTGGTCTGCTGTTGCTGAACCACACTGCGAAGGTGCTTAATACAGTTGTGATTGGGCATCTCATCTTTGGGCATTTCTAGCCTGTAGAGTAAAAAAGCAAATGTGATTAAAATGTCAAACAAACAACGAAGACAATTAAGGGCTGTTCACACAGGATGCATTCTTGCATTAAAAAAAACAGCGTGACGCAGAGCTGAAAAAGATGCTGAAAAAGCAGTGAACCAAGGTACTATTGTCAAACACATCCATACAGCACATGGGCTAAGTGAGAACTAGATGAATATGGTAGATACCCGCAGCCTTCTTCACACGTGACGGGTCGTTTGGGGTTGTGCTCACAGTCCTTGAGGTGTGACTGCAGCTGGTCGAGCCGAAGGGTGGCCGTGCATCCGAAGCCGGCGTTATCACAGGAGATCTGCAGCTTGGAAAGCATGTTACGCATGATGCGGGGAACGGGTCGAAGATGGGCAAGAGTCACCACAGTGCGGTCCACAGGGCAGCTCTGCTGCTGTGCAAACCACTGTGTGATGCAGGCGTTACAGAATGCATGCTCACAATGCGGGGCCTGAGAGAACAGACAGATTGATCAGGGTGTAACCTGAACTCAATGCCTATTGACTTTTCTTGCTGAAGTGCATTTTTCAGACATTGTATTTCTTTTGATGTTAAAAAAGAAAAAAAAAAAGAGCAAAATAAATCCATTGGCAAAGACAGAAATTTATTTAAAAAAATAAATTTTTTTTACTAACTTTACCAATAATAATTTTTTTATTGTTTTTATTAATAATTAATAAAAAAACTAATTTAACAATAATAATAATAATTCTACTATTTTATTAATTAATAAAATAACTAACTGAACAATAAAGTATTATTGTTCTTATATTATTTTATTATTATTGATTTTAAGAAATAATAATAATATATTTTTTATTGTATTCATATTTTTATCATATTATTTTTTATTAAATAAACTGTCTGTTTACTCTTTTTTTTTTTTTTTTAAGAAATATAACAATTTTATTTTTTATAAAAAAAACATTTTGGACCCTTGTGAGACACATTCACACAATGATCTTGAAGCAATGATATCTAATAACCACAAACTCATAATGTCGTGACACAGGCAGAGCCTCTGTCTCTTTCTCAGGGTGTTCTAGAATGTTGCAGTTGAATGGAAAATAAATATCGACCTGCACTGGCTCTTCCAGCACCCCGCTGCAGATGGGACATAACAGATCCTCGTCCACCTCTCCTTGGAACCTGGTGACGTCGTACCCCATGGCACATTACCAGAATCCTTTGATATCTGAAATGAAGCAGGCAGGAAGAGTGTGTTGTGAGAACTCAGCCGGTGCAATCAAATGCCTGCATATCGCCTCTGAGACAGAGATGCATGAGAAGAACTGGATGTACAACAGAATGAAACTGAAAACTTATAGCCTTTGTTGGCCAATTTTAACTGAACACTAAAACCAGCACTGGAACAGAAGAACTTCTTTTTGTTTTTTTACCAATTTCAAGATTTAACAGCTGGTATGAAAATGAAGAAAGTACAATCAAATATGCCAAATTATAAAATATTATGATGCACATCTTCTGGACAATCAAAATCATAAATGCAGTACACGATTAAGAGCAGCATATGACTTGAATAATGCTTTATGTACCAACTGACTTTAATTACAAATTGTGCTATTCATTGCAACATGACCCTATTCTAAAACCTAACAATGCAGTAGTCTAATAAGCCTAAAACAATGTACACACAAATATTGGGAAAGAGTCTTTGCTCAATTTGTTAATTAATCAGATTGAACTTTTTAACAATACTTCAATTCTATGAACACTAGTGACGCAGCCTTAAAATTTGGCCAAACCAAGGCACAGCTTTCACTTTGCTTGTGGAACAGTCTTTGTGCCAGGCGCGTGTCGATGATGCTTTAAAGCGTAGGTTTCAGAACAAAACTCCTTAGAAGCACTGCAGGTAAACTGATAGAGGTTTAATGAACATGGCATTTTGACAGTAGCAAATAATGGAGTGCGCTCTGCTGGACAAATTAAGTAATTACACCATGTCAAGCATTTTATGAAAGTGAAAAAGTAAAGTGAAAGTGACGTGACATGTGGCCATTTCATATCGGCGGCATATTCGCCGTTACCGATATATCGGCGACAGGCTCATATCAGCCGATAATATCGGCAAAACGATATATCGGTCGGGCTCAAGTAGATATTCAAAATAATCACTACTTAAAGACATCACAAAATCAACATACCTTTCTGAATATATTTGAGTGTTTTCAGTGCCAATTTACTATTTTGGTATCAGCTATTTAGGACAAACTCATTCCTAGACTACAAATAAGAACAGTCCTTAGCAGGAATAAGCTCCAAAGTGGACCGGATTTTATGGTGGAAATCATTAAGTTATTAACGCCTATACAGAATTACATCTGTGTTAGAACAGACAGAAAGCAGACATTTTAGTAACACGGAGCACAAAAGATTTAAACCATACTAAAATGCATTAACTTCTATGAAATATGCATGATCCGAGTGATTATATATAACACACAGTAGCATTAAAGGAGTACAAGGCATTTTCTCTGCTACTATATTATGTGAAACATTCAAAAGAAATGTACATTCATACCTCACGAAAGCACAGCCCTCATGATCCCTGTACAATGAGTCGTCCTCATGTGTCAGGTGGACAAGGCGATCTGCCTTACGATGAAAGACTGAACATCCCCCTTAAGAAAGAGAAAACAAGACATCCATTATGATGCAATCAATACACTGCTATTTATTTCAAAGCAATTTAATTAAGTTTTAAAAAGCCTGTTTGAAACATTTCCCTGAAGCTTCAGACAAGTTTGGCGTATTTACTGTCAACTAATCCATTCCCATTTCAAGATGTTTTGAATACTATGGCTGTCAACATTTAAGCTTACGAATGCTTTTATCTCCCACTGGGTCTCTTGAGTGGAAATCCAAAACCATGAATGCCTTGATATGAATGCCTTCGTAATCTATTTAAGAGCCGACTCATTTAAGAGCCTGATGATGTATGGGTGGAAGCTACACATGCACAAGCAATCACAGGGCTGGACAGTATGACGTGTAATGAAATGAGAGAATTTTGCAATATATATTTGGGTGGCCATAAGTAGGCAGTGCTTCGAGAGCAATTAAGAAACAATTACTCACAACAACATCATGTGGTTTTTCAAATCACGAGTTTGCCTGGCAGGCGAAAAAAAATCCTATAGAATTACATTGAGCCATGTATAAGGACCAAATCATCATAGAGGCTTGTGGCTGGGCTGACAGTAAATAACCACCCAGTACACCCTAGCTCCCACATAGCAACACCCTGGTAACCATCCATTACACCCTAGCATTGCGATGCATTTTCACTCAGTGGAATCACAATAACTTGTGTTTTCAGGTTGGTGTGTGTGAACCTGAGACTTTTCCACAGCCTATTGAAACAAAGCAGATGTAGTCAGCAAGGATTAGACGTGTGATTTAAAGCACTTTTATCCAGCAGCACTACATTTTTTCTTTGGAATCTAATGTCATAAAAAAACAAGAAGGAGAATGCTGGAGTTAGTACACAGATCAATGCTCTTAATTTGAATTTAAAATCCAAAGCAAAAAAAGGGGCTGCGTTATGTAGACACAGCATCTCTTCAGATTCATAACAGTTCTGTGAGGGGTGGTGTTGTGTCCCAGTAGGCTCGTGGTGACCTAATTTTAGCTTGTCTAAGCAGATGATGGGGGAGAGTGTGGGTGGTTTAGCACGTTCTCCCCTCAACCCCCATTTTAGAGAGTGGGTTCCTCGCTTTCATTCAGTAAAGATCTGGTTTTAGTGGCACGGATGCATGATCACCAAGAGCACATCCGGGAGTGCACAGGAGTGCAAGTGGCACACGTTTACCAATGTCCAAAGCGCTTTGTCCAAACCCCTAAATAAGTATGAGACCATAATATATTAACTTATCAGCTGTTTTGATGCTGTAAAATGGTGGCTGTTTATCTCTCTCTCTATACACACACACATACATACATACATGCATATATATATACACACACACACACAATATATATATATATGTGTGTATGTGTGTGTGTGTGTGTGTGTGTTTCTGCACCAAAAATGTATATAAACATGACATGGCAGACCTGTCTTTCAGCATATAATATGTTAGGGGTTAATGTCAAATGTACAGATGTAGCCATTTAAACAAGATGCATATGATAAATTACAGCCAGCCAGCCATGAATATGAATACAATGTCACGCTGGATTCAGACAGACAAACTAACTGTACTTCTGCCAAAATACATACAGTAATGAACAAGACAGGACATGGCAGAACAGCTGCAAACATCTGTACGGCTATTAAACCTCCTGGCGATGTAAAAAGCTTCTGCCAGCCTGTAACACACGCACGCTGATGTGCTTGAGCGAATAGGCGCTTAGCATTAGCCAGCTCGCTAACAAGATGCATATGATAAATTACAGACAGCCAGCCATGAATATGAATACAATGTCACGCTGGATTCAGACAGACAAGCTAACTGTACTTCTGCCAAAATACATACAGTAATGAACAAGACAGGACATGGCAGAACAGCTGCAAACATCTGTACGGCTATTAAACCTCCTGGCGATGTAAAAAGCTTCTGCCAGCCTGTAACACACGCCTGCTGATGTGCTTGAGCGAATAGGCGCTTAGCATTAGCCAGCTCGCTAACGGTGCTGTACAAAAACAACCAACATAATCATCACAGCCACGGGCCTTCCTTACTGAGTTCGAGTTTTTTGCATATAAAAATGAATGAATGTCTTAAATGTATTTTATTCACTGTAAAATTCCATTTAAAGTGTATGCGTCGATGTTAAGAAGATAGCGTACGTGGCTAACTAGCACGAAATCCAACTAACATTAGCTGAGGCATGCCGAAAGAGCAGCTTTGGTCTAAACATTACACCACGCGTCCATAAATGTCACATTACAAATTCTAGCCACCACTAAAAAAAACTGTAAATGTTATTTAAATACTGTCCTGATCAAATAACGTCTTGTTGTTTCGTCACTGCATTTGTCCCCAGTTTGTGCTACTATCCGGTAATTTTACAAGTTGACATAAATAAAGCGTTGAAAATCACCCAGAAGGACTGTAATACCTATTCACCTAGATCGCGGTATTCCTCCAAAGCTTAATGTGATTTCTGGATTTCGAGCCTCTGATATTTGCAGTGATCTGGTAGATGGCTGATATCTCTTCCTGAGCCGAGTGAAGTCTGACTGAATCTGCTGCGCCTACAGGACAGCGTGTGTGTGGAGCAGCAATTATAGCCTACCTGATGTAGGCTACTCTTGAATCAAGAGTAGCCTACATCAGGTAGGCTATGTACTCTTAAACACATTACATGCATACTAATCTAAGAGCGCATATATATTTGACCTATGCAGGAGTTATTTAAATGAATTTAATTATCTATATCTATCTATCTATCTATCTATCTATCTGTCTGTCTGTGCATCTCTACATGCAGATACATTAAAGTTACTTGGACATATAGGGCTGCAGTGGGCCAATACTTAAATATATTTGACAGGATGAGAGTGAGAATGTGTTGAATTTACATCACACAGTCATGACATGAGGTAAACCAAGTTGATCAATGCCTTTCCAGTCATGTGATCTCCGATAGGTTTAAAGTTGTCTGCTGGTGAAACATTAACCTCCTCTTCATAAAACAATGCTTCATGCTTCATGCTTAAACACTAGGATACAGAGAGGATACTGGAGATCATGTAACAGGCTTAAGAGACTGCAAAAAATCATGGGTGGACAGACAGTCTGGTAAAGAGTTTATCAGTTAAAGCTTAAATTGAGATGGCATTTTGATGTCTTTAAGTACTTTGCATGACTTTGCAATGTGCTTTCTGTACGCTTTTGATTTAAGAGTCTTTATCTTAAGTTTTAATTCCTATATACTGATCAGATGCTGCTCTTTCATAGCTCTGAATGTTTCTTATGTTTCTAGGAAATACAATGTAATTAGATATACCTGACTTTTGAATGCAGAAGTTGGTATCTTGGGAAATTTGAGACATTGTTGAGATTTCTTCTAAACTGTAGGAGAAACACATGAGAGTATTAGTATTATTTTATCAGAGGAATCATCAGCAAACTTAAGCAAGTCTCAATTTTGTCTCCCTTAAACCTCTAACCTTCCATCTAGAAGGAACATGTGAGGTATTCCAGAGCTCTCACTCATGATTTTTACAGTATGGATCGTAATTTGTTTTTACCAACTGTAATTGGGATTGATTTAGAAATGCCTATGTAGGAGAAACTGTAGGAGAAACACATGAGAGTATTAGTATTATTTTATCAGAGGAATCATCAGCAAACTTAAGCAAGTCTCAATTTTGTCTCCCTTAAACCTCTAACCTTCCATCTAGAAGGAACATGTGAGGTATTCCAGAGCTCTCACTCATGATTTTTACAGTATGGATCGTAATTTGTTTTTACCAACTGTAATTGGGATTGATTTAGAAATGCCTATTTAATGATGCTTGTTTAATTAAAACTGTTATATTGAATGCTGAGGCCCACATGCTAAAATTATTCATGTTTATTGGCATTTTCACTAAGGACAACTCTGAGCTTCAAGCTTCTGCTCTACCACTGTATGATTTCTGTGATGATACCAGCCATCCTTGTACTGGCAACACATGTCCAGGTCAACAAGAAAGAGAGCACACAAGTCAAATCTACACAGGAACACTTAGAGGAAGCTTTTGAAGAGCAGGTACGTTTGGATGATTCTGTCAGAACATAACGTTTAAGTAACCAATGATTGTTTTTGTTTTTGAGAATCTACAATTTACTCGTCCCTACATGTCTGGTAAAGTAGATCTACCACATTCCTTGAGGGATTTTTCAAAACATACAGAGATCAAGTGCTTTTTGCTTGAGTGTTACACTGAGTGCAAAAATCTTATCAACAATGACTCTGATGCAATCAATCAATCAAATTGAACTAGGTTAGAGTTGCAGTTTCAGTACATACTGTATGTTGAAAGCAAATCATAAAGCACTATCATAAAGACACTGGCATGCGTGGACCTTGAAAATGATGTCTGTTGGTAAAATAGTCGTTCAGATTTGATCTTCTCTCAAGGGCTACTACTTGCAACGCCTATTCCTTCAGTATGGGGACAATGGGACTTTGACCTATGAGGGTCTGCAGAAGTTGCTTGGCAGTTTAGGTCTCGGGGAGGTCAGTGTCCTGGAGATCCAACATGGTGGAGTGAAGCATTCTTCTCAACCCCAATCCCATTCCCACTCACATGAAGACCATTATCATCCTCAAAGGACCACAAACTCACCTCCACTCAAAGAAAGGTAAGATGGCTAACGCATTATTGTAATCATTACACTTTCATTCTACAATCTTCTACAATATTATTTACACTGACTGTGGTTTGTGCCTATAAAGTTAACTTTTTAATATGTAATCTTTTATTATCCCCACAAAACCAGAGATGAATTTCCCTGTATTTGATGATCTGGTTATTGTTTGCGGAGGACTAATCCATGAAAATATTCAGTCCTAGACCTCACATTAAATCAGTGATCAGAGGATCTCCTCCAGAATGGGGTCACTCAGACTATTTTCCACACCCTGGTCTAAGACACAAACTGGAAGAAAATGTGTCACCGCTGTCAGACCATCCGACAGAGAAACACCTTCATGGGAATGTGAGTGTTTACTCCTAAACTTCCTGTTAGAGTGTTACGAATGGACAAAGTCTACCACTGAATTCTCTTCACTATCACATGACCAAAGGTCTGTTGATATCTTGAGACAGTAAAATTCAGTCTATTGTCCTTTCCTGTTCTGTATGAGGTACACAAACTATTTTGGAGAGAGATAATCATGTAAGAGGTCTCTGCTGAAAAGACTGGTTTAAGCCGGTTAGTGCTGGTTTAATGCTGGTCTAGCTGGTGAGCCAGAATATGATATAATGCTGTATATCTGCAAAACTCTGGCAAAAATCTTGCAAAGCTGGTTGACCATCATGCATCTTCTGGTGATGCTGGTTGATAAGAGCTTGCTGGTTAAACTACTGAGGAGGATTTCTTGGACTACCAGCACACAAATATCCCCAACTGTGGATTAGCATCTACATCACAATATGTGCAATATGTAAATACATACTTAAGTATAGAAGCCTATTTCTTCTAAATTCTGAGATACTTAGTCGTAATTATGAGATAAAAAGTCAAAATATGTCATAATTATGATGTCAAAATTATGAGAAAAAGTTACATTTATGAGAGAAAAAGTCATAAGTGTAACAGAAAAAGTCAAAATTGTGATACAAAATTATGAGTTAAAATGTAGGAATTATTATATTATAATAAAAAAGTCAAAATTATGAAAAAAACAATTGACAAGTTTGAAATCATGAAATAAAAAGTCAGAATTATGACAAAATTCTAAATTATAAGATAAAAGGTCATAATTTTGACTTTTTAATCACATAATTATGTAAACCATACCACAGTATACCATAATTTCAACTTTTTACATAATAATTTCAACTTTTTTTTGGTAATGCAATAAAGTCAGGCTTCATTATAGCAAAATAAATCTGAATTTTGCCTGTGTATTATCTTAAAATGTTCAATAAGGAAATAAACAGACCATTACAATGCACAAAACCATCGGCCTATAGTGACATTACCATTGCAACGTTACAGTAATATTAACACTTAAAGTCCTCTGAGGTCATTTTCACTACAGCTGATAACTGATACACAACATGGTATCAGCTGTGTTCGTAGAAAACAAGAGAAAGTGAGTCTGCGGTGTGATACGAGAGACATGGAAGTAGCGCAAGCTTTGAATGACCAATCATAATGGAGTATTTCAGAGAGCTGTGTAATAATCTGAACCTCACATTTCTTACTCCCTTATCGCAGTGTCTAAATGTTACCCAGCTCCTGTGGAACTTCGGGCTGGGCCAAGCGTCCCATATCACTCCTGCCCATTTCACCTTCCTGTGCCCTGCCCTCCTGTTCCAGATTGACAGTGGAGTGTGTCTGCGGCACACAGAGGTGCAGTCACAGGGAAGCAAAACCAGTGAGAGTTTCCTGAGAGGTGTGTGTACAAGGCAAATGTGATATCAGAATCAATTTTGTGTTTGTTTTCATGATAGTGCAGGTTAAACATAGTCATTGTATCTCAGCACTAGGATGGGCCTCCTTGGCACTCTTTGCTATCAGTTTGCCTTCCCTGGTTGCCCTGGGACTGGCACCCCTGCTTCAACCTTCCATCCTTCAAATATTCCTGTGCCCGATGGTTGGCATGGCAGTGGGCACATTATGTGGAGATGCCCTCCTGCACCTCCTGCCCCATGTAAGTAATACACAATACAAAATTAAGCATAATTTCAAGAAAGTATTATTCTGTAATAATTCAAGCGCTATAGATGTATATTTTTTGTGATTTTAGGCCATCTTCAGTCAACACATTGAACATCAGGATGCTGTTTTCAAGGGTCTGAGCGTGTTGGGAGGACTTTACCTTCTATTTGCCTTTGAGAGCCTTCTGGGACTTAAACAACATTTCAAGGTAAGTTTCATCCAGTGGGACTTTAATCATGACCCGCTGACTTAAGTAAAAGAGATGTGATGTTTTCCCTATCTGTCCCCTTCTTCAAACATAATTTAAAGAAAAGGAAACATGATGCAGAGTCTGGAAGGGAGCTGGACACACTGCAGGGTATGTTTATTTTCAGACATGTGAAAGAGCAAACCAGAAAGAAAATCATTAATGATTATGGAACATATAAATTAATCTGGACTCTGTCATAGGTACCTCAACAGCCAATCAGAATGAGAGTTCAGGGCATGGCCATTCTCATGGGCAGCCTGGACCAGGGAAGATGGGCATCAGAAGCATGGCATGGATGGTGGTCATGGGAGATGGGATACATAACCTCACAGATGGACTAGCCATTGGTACATAAAAGTTATTACTGATTAAAGTTGCATTAAGTAATAAGTAATCATTTTAAATTGATTACACTCAGAAAATGTAACTAAATAATAATAATAATAATTTAGGCCCTGAAGCAAAACCAACTGAGAAACACTGATATAAGAGCCAACAAAACATAAAACTGTTATTTAGTGCACCTTTAAAGCAACGGCAAGTTTTTACTTCGAAATGTCAGTTTCATAATCATTCTGATGGTACTCCAAAGTCGCAAAAATACACAAAACTGCATACAGTTGCT